GAGAGGAAGAAGAGGAGGAGGAGGAAGAGAAGAAGGAAGAGGAAGGAGAAGAGGAAGGGGAGAAGAAGAAGAAGAGAGGAGAAGAAGAAGAGAGGAGGAGGAGGAGAGGAGGAGGAAGAAGGAAGAAGAAGGAGGAGGAAGGGAAGGAGAAGAGAGAGGAAAAGAAGAGGAGGAAGAGGAGGAAAAAGAAGAGGAGGAAGAAGAGAGAAGAGAAGGAAGGAAGAAGAAGGGATAAGAAGGGAAGAAAAACAAAAGAGGATGGTAGGAGGAAGAAGGATGGTAGGAAGAAGAAAGGTCTGGAAAACAAGCCCTATGAGGAGCGGCTTAAGGAGCTGGGCATGTTTAGCCTGAAGAAGAGAAGGCTGAGAGGAGACATGATAGCCATGTATAAATATGTGAGAGGAAGCCACAGGGAGGAGGGAGCAAGCTTGTTTTCTGCTTCCCTGGAGACTAGGACGCAAGGAACAATGGCTTCAAACTACAAGAAAGGAGATTCCATCTGAACATGAGGAAGAACTTCCTGACTGTGAGAGCCGTTCAGCAGTGGAACTCTCTGCCCCGGAGTGTGGTGGAGGCTCCTTCTTTGGAAGCTTTTAAACAGAGGCTGGATGGCCATCTGTCAGGGGTGATTTGAATGCAATATTCCTGCTTCTTGGCAAGGGGTTGGACTGGATGGCCCATGAGGTCTCTTCCAACTCTTTGATTCTATGATTCTATGATTCTAAGAGAGAAGGAAGAAGAAGAGAGAGGAAGAGGGGAAGGAGAAGAGGAGGGAGAAAGAAGAACAGGGAAGAAGAGGAGGAGAGAAGAAGAGGAGGAGGAGGAGGAGGAAGAGGAATAGGAGAGGACGAGGAAGATAAAGAAGAAGGAAGAGGAAGAGAAAGGAGAAGAGGAAGAAAAGGAAAACAAGAGGGAGGAAGAGGAGGAGAAGGAGAAGAAGAGGGAGAAAGAGGGGAACGAGAAGAGGAAGAGGAGGGAGAAAGAAGAACAGGGAGAAAGAAGAGATAAAAAGAGGAGGAGGAGGAATAGGAGAGATGAAAGAAGATGAAGAAGAAGAGAGAGAAAGAGGAAGGGGAAGAAGAAGAAGAGGAAAGCGAGGGAGGAAGAGAAGGAAGAAGAAGAAGGGGATAAGGAGGGAAGAAAAACAAAAGAGGATGGTAGGAGGAAGAAGCATGGGAGGAAGAAGGAGAAGAAAGTGGAGAAGGAAGGGAGAAGGAAGGACAAGAGAAGGAGGAGGTGAAGATCAGAAGGGGGGGTGAAGAGTAGAAGGAGCAGGAGAGAAAGAAGCCAGGATTGTTTCCTTTGACCATTTTTGTCTCTTCCGGAAGTTCGCCTCCGCCTTGGCCCCAGAGGAGGGAGAGAGGACGCACAGACTGGTCCTGGTCCAGAAGCCCCCCCCCCCCAACCCCCCAACCCTTCCCCTCCCCTTCCCCAACAGTAAACAAAGCCTTTCCTCTCTGCCTGGGAGGCTGCGCCCCTTCCCTTGCCTCCCTTGGGGGGAGAGAGTGGGATGCGGAGGGGATGCAGGAATGGCTGGACCACTCTCTCCATCTCTCCATCCCTCTCTCTCCATCCTTGGCTGTCCTGGGCTGCGGAGGGATGCAGGAATGGCTGGACCACTCTCTCCATCCTTGCCTGTCCCGGGCTGCCTCTGCCTGCCTTCCTGACTCCCGAAGCTGCGCAGTCATCGCCGCCTGTTACATAAGAAGCAGCCGGGCAGGGAATTGATGATCTTTGGAGAGAGGGGGGAGGCACAACAACACCCCCTCCCCTCCCCTCCCCCCCCCCCACCCCTCTCCTTCCAGCCCCCCCCCCTTCTTTCTCTCTCTTGCTGGGCACAAACTCCTTTCTTTCCAGGCGCCGGATTCGCCCCTTCTTCTCCTCTCCATCTCCCGACTTTTCATCTTGGGGAAGGGGAGGCTGAGGGGGGCGACTTAGTGGCCCCCCCTCCCCATAATATATAGACCCCCTTCCTCCTCATCAACACCTCCTTCCTAGTCGAGGCTGCTTTAAGAGAGGAGGAGGAGGAAGAGGAAGAAGAGGAGGAGCAGCCAAAGCCAAGCAGGTCCAAACGGAGCCGACCCGCTCCCCGTTGTTTTGTGTCCCCCCCCTTTCTTCCCCGAGTGGCGCAGCAGAAGGAAAGCCAAGCAGGAAGGCAGCTGCAAGGGCCTCCTTTGAAGTGGGGGGGCTCTGGGAAAGAGGGGAAGGGGAGGGGAGGGGGCGGGCCAAAGTGAGGAAGGGGCTGCGCCGATTGGGGGAAAGTTTTCCAGCGGGGGGATTGGCAGGGAAAGCGGGGCTTTGGGGAGAGGGGGGGGCTTCAAGAGGGAGGGGAGTTTGGAAGGTGAGCTTTGGGGGGGGGGGTTCAAGAGGTAAAGAGGGGGGTCTCGGTTGAAAGGAGCCCCTTATTATTATTGCCACTATTATGAACCGGATTGAGACGCTCGAGAAGCCGCCGAACCAGAAGGACGTCCGGGAGAAGTTGGGGTACAGCTGACTCCCCTAATCTCTCCAGCCGAGGTAGAGTTTGTGTCCTGAGAAGTTGGGGCGCAAGGAAGCCCCCCAAATCCACCCAGCCAAGTAAGCAGATCGTGTTTGTGTGTCCCAAGACGTTTGGAGGTAGGAGAGAAATTGGGGTGCAGAAGAGCCCCCCCAATTCATCTACCGTAGTGTTTGTCTAGGAGAGAAGTTGGGGTACAGTTGACCCCCCTCTAATCTGTCCAGCCAAGGGAGAGTTTGTGTCCTGAGAAGCTGGGGCGCAAGGAAGCCCCCAAATCCTCGCACCAAGTAAGTTTGTGTGTTCGAGGACGTTGTGAGGCCAGAGAAAGGTTGGGGTGCAGGAGAGCCCCCCTCCAATTCCTCTACCGTAGTGTTTGTCTAAGGGAGAAGTTGAGGTACAGCTCACCCCCCCCCAATCTCTCCAGCCGAGGTGGAGTTTGTGTCCTGAGAAGTTGGGGTGCAAGGAAGCCCCCAAATCCTCACAGCAAGTAAGTAGATAGTGTTTGTGTTTTCGAAGACGTTGTGAGGGCAGAGAAAGGTTGGGGTGCAGGAGAGCCCCCCAATTCATCTGCCATAGTGTTTGTCTAAGGAAGAAGTTGGGGTACAGTTGACCCCCCTCTAATCTGTCCAGCCAAGGTAGACTTAGCGTCCTGAGAAAGTTGGGGTGCAAATCCAGCCAGCCAAGTAAGCAGATAGTGTGTGTGTGTTCGAGGACGTTGGGAGGTCGGAGAGAAGTTGGAGTGCAGGAGAGCCCCCCCCCCCAATTCATCTGCCATAGTGTTTGTCTAAGGAAGAAGTTGGGGTACAGCTGACTCCCCCAAAATATCTTTTGAGCCAAGTAAGTGAGTGGTGTTTGTGTCTGGAGGGATTGGGGTGCAGGGGAACCCCCAAATCTGTCTTGTGAGTGTTGTTTGTGTTGGGAGAAGTTGGGGTACAAGTGACTCCCCCCAAATTTATTTTGAACCAAGTAAGTAGGTAGTTTTTGTGTTTGGAGAAGTTGGGTGCAGGTGAACCCCCAAATCTGTCTTGTTGGTATTGTTTGTGTTGGGAGAAGTTGGGGTACAAGGGATTCCCCCCAAATTTATTTTGAACCAAGTAAGTAGGTGGTATTTGTGTTTGGAGAACTTGGGGTGCAGGTGAACCCCCAAATCTGTCTTGTCAGTATTGTTTGTGTTGTGATAAGTTGGGGCACAGGTGACTCCCTCCCAATATATTTTGAGTCAAGTAAGTGGGTGGTGTTTGTGTCTGGAAAAGTTGGGGTGCAGGTGAACCCCTAAATCTGTCTTGTGAGTATTGCTGGTGTTGGGAGAAGTTGGAGTACAGGTGACTCCCCCAAAACTGTTGAACCATTCAAGGTGGTGGTGCTTGTGTCAGGAGTTGGGGTACAGGTGAACCCCAAAACCGTCCTGCAGTGTTTGTCTTGGGAGAAGTGGGATCAGGGAGAAGTTGGGGTGTGGGCGGCACACCTCAACCTGTGTGAGAGAGGTGTGGGGCAGATCCAAAGTGGGCTTCTGCGATAGTCTCACCCCCTTGTCCCCTTGAGCCATCCGGATCTCGGAGGAGAGGGTTGGCCCAGGGCGGCAGGGGGGTCTCTTGCCCGGGCAGCCAGAGGCACTGGGCTTGTGCTGCGGGGTCCAGGAGGCACTAGGCTTGGCCGTGGGGGTCCAGGAGGAAGCCTGGGGCCGGGGGGTACAGGAGGAGGGTGGCCCCCAGGGGAAGCCGGGCTCGGATGACCGGGAGGTGAGAGCAGAGCCCAGTTGGTGGTGTTTCAGGGTTGAGAAGGGAACGGGGCCTTCTTCGCAGTGGCTCCCTGGAGTTGAGAACTCGCAGGAGGGGAGCGAAGAGCGGCCCCTGCTGGTGGAAGGAAGGGAGGCGCGGCTGAGGCTGCCGGTGGCGGGGCAAGTGGAGTGGGCTGGGGAGCGGAGGCCGGGAAGCGGGTTTGGGGTCCAAGAGGAAGCTGGGGGGATAGAAGGGTCCGAGCGCTGTGGGGTGGAAGAAGAGTATCCCCCGGAGGAAGAGAAAGCGAAGGAGGAGGAGGAGGAAGAAGAAAAGGGGGGACCCTTTCGTCTCTGGGGGGAGGAGGAGGAAAGCGGGGTGCTGCCGATAGAGGAAGAGGAGGATGAAGGGGTCTCCGCTGTCGGAATTGTCCTGTTGGAGGGTCCCAGGCAGGAGCGGGGCCTGATCGTGGGGGGCCGCCAGGAGCAAGCGGGGTTCGGGGAGATCGGCCTGGGGGTGGCGGAGCAAGAGGTCGGCCTCTGGGCCCAGCAGCAGCCCCACGGCGAGGCGGAGGCCAGGCTCTGGGGCCGGTCATCCTTGGAGCGGCCCCTGTGGCCCCGAAGGTGGCGGTGGGGGGGACAAGAGGCGGTGCAGCATTCGGCCCTCCAGGAAAGAGCTGGGGGTCCGGGGCGAGGGTCTCAGCAAGAGGAAGGGGGACTGAGGCAGGCAGTGCAGGAGGGGCAGCCGCTGGAGTTGGGGGGCTTTGGGTGGGGCGTGCAGGAGGGGGGTCAGTGTCGCCGAGAGGCCACATCCACGGCCAGGTTAAACCGAGGGGCACGAGGATGCGGGGAGTGGCCTCCGAGGGAGCCGAATGAAGCGAACCCCCTTCAACGTTGTCACTTTCTCAACCTCCCTTCGGCATAAGGAGGAGCCCCTTGTGCCTTTTGCAACCCTTCACAGCAAGAAATGTAGCCTCCCAGGAAAGGAAGTGGATCCGAAAGATGTGAACCCCGAATATTCCCTGTTTGCCAAAGTGGAATCTTTTGGCAATCAGTGAACATTGTTTACAACTCTGCAACAAGGACTTTTGTCATCGTGAATGTCGAAACGAGATTTGGCGCTGGTGCCTTTTGCCACTCCTCGCAGCAGGAAATGTAGCCTCTCTAAGCAATATGCAAGACGTCTGCAAGCAAGTCTTATTCGCCCCTACCTGTCTTTCTCTCTCAGCTATCCTCGTGTGACCAGCTGTTGGTTCTTTTCAGAATGTTGCACCAGTCTTCGATAATCCGCTTTCCTCGTGCGTCGCACCAGTGAGTAACGTACTTGTCTGCGCACCTTGGCATCTCCTGTTTCCAACCGTTTTCTCTAGAGCAATGCAAAAGAAGTTGTAATATCCACTCTTCGTGCTGCAAAAGCTTCACAGCTGCACCTCTTCAAGTATCAACGCTCCACAATAGTGTCATGTGGCATAAGACACGCTGCAGCGTCTGCCCTGTCGTGTATTTGCTTCTGGCACAGCTGCACAATTGCGCCTCCCCTTGCACCTTGAAATCTGCTCGAAACCCTACGAGTCGTGTGTGCGCTATTGCGGATTGTGACTAGAAGTGTCCTACCTGTTCCCGCCTCTGTGTTGCTGCCATGGCCTTGTTCCTAGTGCAATGTGACTTTGATGGTGCACAGCCGTGCAAAAGTGAACGTGAAGTCTGCAAGACACTGGGGAGGCCTCACTGTACACCGTCGCCGCTGTCTTGTGTAAGTATCTCACCTTACTTTTTAATTATGTATTGTATTGTTGTTGTTTTTTTGTCGTGTCAGGAGTGACTTGAGAAACTGCAAGTCGCTTCTGTTGTGAGAGAATTGGCCGTCTGCAAGGACGTTGCCCAGGGGACGCCCGGATGATTTGATGTTTTTATCATCCTTGTGGGAGGCTTCTCTCATGTCTCCGCATGAGGAGCTAGAGCTGATAGAGGGAGCTCATCCACCTCTCCCCGGATTCGAACCTGCGACCTGTCGGTCTTCAGTCCTGCCAGCACAGGGGTTGTTTTAATATGTATCTTTTCTCGAAATACATTTTCATATGTGTATTTGTGGTATTTTAACAATGTTTACGTGTTTTAATTATTCAGTAACCCGTCTCAAGCTACGAGGAAAGGCAGGTAAGAAATGAAATTATTATCGGGTTGCTCTGAGTTTTCTGGGCTGTATGGCCATGTTCCAGAAGCACTCTCTCCTGATGTTTCACCCACATCTATGGCAGGCGTCCTCGGCGGTTGTGAGGTCTGTTGGAAACTAGGCAAGTGAGGTTTATATATCTGTGGAATTATGTCCAGGGTGGGAGAAAGAACTCTTGTCTGTTGGAGCTAGATGTAAATGTTTCAATTGATTAACTTGATTAGCATCGAATAGCCTTGCAGCTTCAAGGCTTGGCTGCTTCCTGCCTGGGGGAATCCTTTGTTGGGAGGTGCACAAACACATATACACAATATACACACACGCATATATACATCCCAGCATATATATCTGTGGAATGATGTCCAGGGTGGGAGAAAGAACTCTTGCCTGTTGGAGCTAGGTGTAAATGTTTCAATTGATTAACTTAATTAGCATTGAATAGCCTTGCAGCTTCAAGGCTTGGCTGCTTCCTGCCTGGGGGAATCCTTTGTTGGGAGTTGCATAAACACATATACACAATACACACACACACATATATATACACAAAAAACACATATACACAGACTGTGCCACATCAACGCATGCAGGGGACGGCTAGTACAATATAAAAAGCAAATATATCTGTAAAAACAAGATCCTCGGCATCTCCTTACTAAAATCGTTGTCCAGTTGTATCGTCAGTTAATTCCATATATTTGTTTACATCTACAGTATATTCTGGCGTATAAGACTACTTTTTAACCCAAGAAAATCTTCTCAAAAGTCAGGGGTCGTCTTATATGCGGGTGTAGTCTTATGCATGGGAGTCATCTTAACTCTATATTTTAACTGGAAAAGTTGGGGGTCGTCTTATACGCTCAGTCGTCTTATATGCCGGAATATACGGTAATTATGCTACTATAGAAAAAGCTTGCTCAAAGAGCCAGGTCTTAACCATTTTGCAGAATGTTAGAAGGGAGGGAGACGATCTTATATCCCTGGGGAGGGCATTCCATAGCCGAGGAGCCACCACTGAGAAGGCCCTGTCTCTCGTCTCCACCAAACACACCTGTGAGGAAGGCGGGATTGAGAGTAGGTCTTCCCCAGACGATCTTAAAGTCCTAGATGGTTCATAAGGAGAGATACGTTTGGATAGGTAAGCTGGACCGGAACCGTTTAGGGCAGTGGTTCTCAACCTTTCTAACACCGGGACCCCTAAATTTGGTTCCTCACGTTGTGGTGACCCCCAACCATAAAATTATTTCTGTTGATCCTTTATAACTGTAATTTTGCTACTGTTACAAATCGTAATGTAAATACCTGATATGAAGGATGTGTTTTCATTGTTGCAAATTCAACATAATTAAAGCATCATGATTAATCAGAAAAAAATATGTTTGGGCGAGTATGGGAAAACAGATGATGGGATCTGCAGTGCCTTCAACCCATTCAACACTGACTTCCATAGACCGCTGAGACCTCCACACAGAACTCCCATGTCAAACAAATAATGCTGGAGGGGTTTGGGAGGAATTGACAGAGAGAGAGCAAGGCAGGTGAGGCAGGCTTTGTGCAAGGCCAGACCTCGTGCGGAGGACCCCTCGCCTGCCCCGCGCCCTCACCAGATAATAATAATAATAACAACAACAACAACAACAACAACACTTTATTTATACCCCGCTACCATCTCCCCAGGGGACTCGGTGCGGCTTACACGAGGCCGAGCCCAAAATACAACAATACAAGCAATAACAATAACACTACAAGCAATTTAAAAAACAATACATAAGCATTATCAATAGGACAACACACTTTAAAATCTATGGGTAGGCCAAATGTAATTAAAATTTAAAAGTAGTAGTAATTTTATTGATTAGCCCTTAGGCCATATCACAATAAGAAACAGAACAACAAGGCCTGACAAGACCTGATCACACTCCACGTAGAAAGTTAAAATAAGACACTTATAATAATACAGTAAATACATATGATAAGACATGATAAAACTGATAAACTGATCAAGCTGAGTATATACATCATATTTCATTATCACCCCTACAATTTACCCCAATCAGCCCTACATATGTGGTTCTCAGACGTATTGTTTTGCTTAAGTACAGAGCTGTTTTATACGTTATTTTTGGGTCTTGGCCACACATAAAATATGTTGTTCTGATGTGAGAATCCCAATACATTGTCCGTTTGATATATGGACCAAGGTGGAAGTCTCTCACCTTTTGATACAATTTGCAATCAAACAATATGTGTGCTATATCCTCAATTTCAGGTGCCCCGCAGATACAACTCATTATAAGGGATGCTGTTAAATCTCCCGTATCTAACCATTGTCTCGAGCTGATCAAATCTGGCTCGCATGAATACCTCCCTGAGATGTTTTGGTATTTGCATTTTTAGGTAATTAGCAGTTTGGAAGGTACGTTTATATTGACTCAGCCATTTTAGGTTAGCAGTCTTACTGAGGGTGGCTATATCTTTTTGTAATTAAAATTTAAAAGATTAAAAAGTAATGCTGGACATGGGCGAAAATGATGGGGCGGTTTGTGGGAACATACAAGCAGACCTAAAACAATATAAAGTGCTTTGGAGGACAAAGTGCTATGGGATCATTATTCTGGGAAGGCACACTGGAACAACCACGTCTTCAAGCTCCTCTTAAAGACTGCCAAAGTTGGGGCATGCCTGATGTCCTTAGGGAGTGAGTTCCAGAGTCGAGGGGCCACCACCGAAAAGGCCCTCTCTCTCGTCCCCACCAATCGCGCTTGTGATGCAGGTGGGAGCATGAGCAGGGCCTCTCCAGATGATCGAAGAGATCGTGTGGGTTCGTATACAGAGATGCGAGAGATGAGAGAGATGGTGAGAGAGCGAGACAGGTGAGGCGGGCTTTGTGCGAGGCCAGGCTTCGCGTGGAGGACCCCTCACCTGCCCCTCACCGAATGGTGAGAGTGTGAGGTAGGCGAGGCGGGCTTTGCTCGAAGCCAGGCCTCACGTGAAGGAGCCCTTGCCTTGCCTGCGCCCTTGGGGCGGGGCCAAAGGAGGCAGCCTCGCGACCCCTCCCAAATGGACAGGCAACCCCCCTGGGGGTCGCGATCCCCAGGTCGAGAACTGCTGGTTTATGGCTTTATAGGCTACACCCAGCACTTTGAACTTTGACCATATTGGTTGCCCTTTTCTGGGTACATTCTACTTTATCAGTGTTCTCCCTGAATTGCTTTGCCCAGAAGTGGACCCAGGGTTATTATTCCAGGAGAGGCCTGACCAACACAGAATAGAGTTGGACTATGACTTCCCGTTGACCTTTCAAGCTGTCGCATCATATTGTTGACTCATGTTCAGCTTGTAGCCTACCAAGTCTCCTAGAACCCTTTCGCATCTATCCATCCTATATCTATGCATTTCATTTCCGAAGTGCAATACCATGCATTTCTCCCTGTTGAAGCTTGTTTGAATAATGTATTGTCGAAGGCTTTCATGGCTGGAATCACTAGGTTCTTGTGGGTTTTTCGGGCTATATAGCCATGTTCTAGAGGCATCTAGACATGGCCATGTAGCCCAAAAAAACCCCACAAGAACCTTGTTTGGATAATGTATTGTCGAAGGCTTTCATGGCTGGAATCACTCTCCTGACGTTTCTCCTACATCTATGGCAAGCATTCTCAGAGGTAGTGATCTCACTACCTCTGAGGATGCTTGCCATAGATGCAGGCAAAATGTCAGGAGAGAATGCCTCTAGAACATAGCCATATAGCCCGAAAAAACCTAAATAGAATTTGATATGTATTGTCGAAGGCTTTCATGGCTGGAATCACTAGGTTCTTGTGGGTTTTTTGGGCTGTAGGGCCATGTTCTAGAGGCATTTCTCCTGACGTTTCACCTGCATCTATGGCAAGCATCTGAGGATGCTTGCCATAGATGCAGGCGAAACGTCAGGAGAAATGCCTCTAGAACATGGCCATATAGCCCGAAAAAACCCACAAGAACCTTGTTTGGATAATGTATTGTCGAAGGCTTTCATGGCTGGAATCACTCAGTTCTTGTGGGTTTTTTGGGGGCTATATGGCTATGTTCTAGAGGCATTTCTCCTGACGTTTCGCCTGCATCTACCTCTCGAGGAAGCTTGCCATAGATGCAGGCGAAACGTCAGGAGAAATGCCTCTAGAACATGGCCATATAGCCCGAAAAAAACCCACAAGAACCTTGTTTGGATAATGTATTGTCGAAGGCTTTCATGGCTGGAATCACTCAGTTCTTGTGGGTTTTTTCGGGCTGTATGGCCATGTTCTAGAGGCATTTCTCCTGACGTTTCGCCTGCATCTACCTCTGAGGATGCTTGCCATAGATGCAGGCAAAACGTCAGGAGAAATGCCTCTAGAACATGGCCATATAGCCCGAAAAAACCCACAAGAACAGACTTGTTTGGATAGTTCTGGCCAATCTGCTCTCTCATCTGTTAAGGTCACTTTGGACACAGCTCCTGGAGTATTAGCTATCCATCCCAATTGGGTGTCTTTCTGGTGCGACAGCCTGGCTCTTGCATAATCAGTGACTCTGTTGCACAAACATTTTTGCCGCTGTGCTCTGTT